GGACCCGTACGTCGTAACCAGCCGCATCGTCAAGACAACGATCTTAAACGAAGCTTAAGCAAAGTGCTTATTTTCAAACATCTTGTGTTTCAAATGCCAATGAAATGTAATGAGTCTAAGAATCTCGTTATGATCATGTTGTAGTCTAACTCTATGTATCTCTCGATACTTCTTTCTTCTTTCTTTTCTGCTTTCGTTTCTTGTGCCGATCACGCAAATCGCTGTAATCATCGCTTGAGTCTGAAAAACAGTCATTTTTAGATGCGCGCTTTCTTTTCTTCGACGTCGAATGTTTGTGTGACTTCCTCCTCTTGCGTTGTTCAGCTTCTGCGTCTGAGTCTGAGTCATAAATAGCGGCCAGAGCTTGCGGATTAAGACCACTATTCGCCATATAAAGCTTCGACTTTCTTACACTAGACTTGCGACTCTTCCGTAATGACTTATCGCGAGACGCATCCAGCTGTTTGCGAAACTCCTTGGTGTGCTGCTTCGACGTGTCTTTCTTGGCCTCTGCCTCTAGCCTCTGAAGTTTGGAGCCGACAAGTTGGTCATATATTTTTTGCAGTGTCGATACAGCATTCGCGCTTTTTATTAAAGAGCGCCCATGGTCTTGCTGCTTGTGACGTCGGCACGTTCCAGTGAAGCACTGCGGACACGTCGACATGAGTAGTGACGAAAGTTTTGTATTCTATTGTACAAAGTAACAATTATATAGTCAAATTCATTATTCGTGAGAAATATGGATGTTAATGTAATAATATGAATAAAATAAATAAAATAGTCAGATGAATGTGAATTTCACTTCACAAAATCGTCTACGCAGTTACTCCTGCTCCAGCCAACTTGTCGACTTGAAGCACTATAATGGACGCAAGGACCAAGATTTATTCACGAGCTTCATGTGAGTGAGGTTCCAACGCTTTTTTGGGGTTTGATTATAGGTTGAAAACGATAGACGTATCAGATTTTCTTTCTATAGAGCTCGTGAAACTACCAAAGGCTGTACAAATTTCTGTAGATTCTGTAAATTCGTTGGAATTGCTTAGAATATCAGACTGAATTTTGACTATAATTTTTATTCTAAAAGTTTGAAATATTCAACTTTACTTGTCGCAGACTTCGGCAAGGTTTAAGAGACGCTCCAAATTACTAAATGGTGTTTCCAAGACGTAAGTTTGAAATTCACTGTATCTATGCTATCACTTTAAGCAAGCAGAATCTCCAAAAGGGGTCTTTTGTGCAATTTTATATATTGTCACACTTCCAATTGATAAACATCATTTCAAGATTGTAAAGGGAACAATGACACTGCAGCTAACGATAGTAGAAAAGCGAAGTACAAATGAGACCAACCTTTAAACTTGTCTGCCATTTCTTGCATGATATCTTTACTTTATATTTCGTTACTGTATGATCACGACAGAGTGGCAAATGGATCGTTGTCCATCTTTTGAATGGACAGCTGTCTAAGTGGCTCATTCATCGAAGTCATTGTTGTAAAAGGAGACACTTGCTGTCCCAAAAATCCTCCATACGGAACCATTGCGTTCGATTGCATAACTCCAAATCCCGATGAAGAAGATGCCATTCCGAAAGGCCCAGTATTCGCAATTGAATTGTACATCAGAGCTTGCGGCGGGGCCATACCACCATTAAAACTTCCAGGTGTCTGTATTGAGTTATACGTCGGAAAAGCCAGTGGAGGAGGTGTTGGTAGAATCTGAATTTTTTCCTTTGGAGCGAGTTGACGAGCTTGTTCCAAAGTCTGGTAGCTTTTTGCGGATCGTTGAGAAAGATTTTTATCCTCGGGTTTAAGATTAAGATTCACCATGTCAGAGGACCACAGATCTCTAGTTGACACTTGATCTTCTTCGGTATGAAGTGAATCAAGTGCATTTTCCATAGGTGGTGAGGTTTCTTCAACCGGTGGCGGTGTGAAGTCGAGCCCTGACAGCATTGACGTAATGTCTTGCGTTTGTGGCTGCTGCTTCGTCGCAAGTGTTGATGTGACTGGAAACCCATCAAAGTCAGTAAATTCAGGAAACGGTATTGTCGATGGAGCCGAACTATTCCACATATCAAAGACAATAGAACCGGTTGCTGCAGACTTGGCTGCTAGGCGAAGCGGAGGAGGATTCGGCGAAAGCGCCACGGATTTGGCACGCTGACGTGACTCTGGAGCTAAACATAGCAGCAAATAACTTGTAATGCGACTTTACTTTCAAGCAAGATATCAGAAACGTACAAATATAATCAGGTTTTGCAAAGCCGCAGGCTTCACAGATCAAAGCATGAGGCTTTTCGTTCACCAAAGTGCATTGCGTGCACTCCCAAGGCGAGAACGAATTCTCACGTGACGAATTGCGAGTATTACCGTAGTTACCATTGTTGTAGCCCCCTTTTGAGTAATTGTACGTGAACGAGCCATTTCGAGAGCCAGAGTCGGTAATCGTTCGTGAAGCAGAGGTAACTCCATTGTCTTGCGATTTCTGAAGCTTGGTGGGATCCAGACGATTGGGTAGACGACGAAAGGAGATACCATCGACAATTAAGTCTGGAGCACAATACTATTGTCAGAGGTCTAAATATCCATACAAAGTCCACTACGCAATACTAACCATACATATCATTAAGATCCACAGAGGGTTTAATGATAATGTGGACGCAGTGTCCACCAGACAAATTAAACACGTAGTCCCAGTCGCCAAAAGGGAGCTAAAAATGATAGAATCAGAAGCAATTGTTATTGTATATAATATTTGGCGGATGCACGACGAACAGGATCAAACCTACCGATTGGGAATTGTACTTCACGATACCATCCACTCGCAACACCTTTTTGCCTGATGCCAAGGAGTGCGTGAGTGAGATCTCAAAATCTCGTCCTTCTTCGACTTTCAATCGCCAAACCACGCGCTTCTTCGAGCTTTCAATAGTCTTGCCTACATTCGACACTTCATAGTAAAGAGCAGCAGCTCTAGCATTTGAGGCCTTGACATTGCCCCATTGACTTTGCCACGACATGATGCAATCCTCTGATATCAAATAACTCGCTACGAACAATGAGGTCTTTCGAAACTGCGTCAATGTTTCGGAACGACGCCATGAAGCGATTAAGAATAGATGGTCGTTACAACATTTCCAAAAGTATATTTATTGTAAAACAATTATTGATCAAGCATCTTCATGTTGGTCCACAAAGGCACTGAAAAGACGACTTTTCGTACAGACAATTTCGGTTGACGGGATGTTCCGAGTCTAGATTCCATCCATCAGTGGTTTTACCATTGAAAAAGCAATTTGATCCGGTGCAATAGCAACGGAAATCGCGAAAGTGACAATCTTTGTCTGTGGAGCAACCATCTAAATGATACGTTAATGGATCGTTGTCTTTTCCTTTTCCCCTTGTCACTTGGAATTCGAATTTACCATGCACTGGATAATGATCAGATAAATCGATTAATGTCATCTTCACGTTGCTTTGCGGTGCAGTCCAATCAACAGTGAAGTGTTCAACTTGATTTACGTGAGCTTCGAGGGTTGGCATGATTTTTGGCTGTTGATATGGAGCTACAATTACCAAGAAGCTGTTCAAGAATCAAACAATGGTATTACAATGTGACGGTAAATCACCTTTGCCGTATAGAACGTAGTCAAGCCACTCAAGTGGACAACACGGACAATAGCACATCATCTCTGAGTTCACTTTCATCAGCGATTTTGACTTTATACGAGCTCTATGCTTTTCACAGGTCGTTCTGGTAAGAGATGACGGACTAAAAGTACCATCCTGTCGACGAACGATAAATGTAAGGCGATTGCAGCAATCATATCGAGATGTCATGTCGAACCTTTAACGGACCCCAATTTTTGATGTATTGAGCACTGCACTTGTTGCTGATTGCAGCCCCGTCACGTCCAACTAGTACATTCGTGCGCGGACTTATGTCGACATATATGAGCACATCTTAAACACTGCTATCATACAAAGTAAGTGAAACCTATATCACTTACTCGCTCGTAAAAATCTGGTTGCCTGTCTGTAAAGGCTCATGAGATTTCAACAGTTCTACCAAATGCGCCACTTCGTCTCGATACGTGTGATTATCCACGTTAAAGTCTCCCGCAAAAAGCAATGGCTTTCGTGTTGATATCAAATATTAGTACACAGTAAAGTGCGAATCAATTACTAGATTGTGATGTGTATCATCACGCCTTACCTCGTGGTACGGAATCCCGATTGCATCAATAAATTGGCGCATCTTCGAAATCAATGTATTTCAGAAAACAACAGAAAATGTTCATACAGAGCAAAAACATACCTGCTTTGCTTGCATGATACGATCCGATCGACCTTCTGGCGTCGACCATGCCTACAATATCTCCACATTATATCCTTCCACGCCTATAATTCGAGCCTCAAGTTCTATTACCTGCATATGCGTGGCAAAGACGTTGAAAATTTTTGATGTCCCGTTCATTGTCTTCAATATCCTTGCATACTTGACTCCTTTGGCTGCTAGACAGTCCGAATAGTGACAAGCGTTGCGATAAATATGCTGTCCCTCTCGAATGATTGGCCACTTGGAGACCATCATAACTCCTCCATTCACAATACTTGTGAATGGGTCTGGGTCGTGTAATATTGTTGTAGAATAATTATATCCATATGATTCAAAAGTTTTTAACATTTCTTTTCGTTGCAATTGAATATCAGCTTCAGCAAAAGTCACGACATCGATACTTGTTGATATTCGATGCAACGATTGAGGAACTCGCTGAAGTCGCTCGTCTTGTCCATCTTTCGACACTTCATATGGCCGTCCAAACAGATTGTACTATTAAAATAATTGGATTATTATACACACCATCGATGTATAGTACGTCAAAGTATCATGAATACCTGAAGCACTTCGAAACTCATACTGTCGACTGCTTCACGTGGCGGATAGTGGACGGTCGGAAATGACATCTCCCATATCTTAACGCTGACATTCTCTCCTTGAGCAGCCACTTGGTAAGATTTACAACAGAGAAAGAGATATGGCACGAATATCAGCAACGTGACTACCATCGTACATCAAATAAAAATGACAAATTTGAAAAGCAACTTTGGAGATTTTGAAATCTCACAATATACAAATACAACATTACGTTCGCGCCAAATTTATCAAAATGTGAATCTTAAATTGATGAGATCATGTTGTAGCTTTAACTTACCAATCTTCTCTCTCTACGGTCATACATATTTGTATTAAGCAAACTATACTGTCATAATGAAAAAGTAAGGTTGTTCTACTTTTGCAGCTTTCTACTTGGCTTGGGGGCGAGCACAATGTGACTTCAAGGTACAAAGAGGAAGCTTTGACTAAAAATTCTGTGCTGATTACCGCACTGAAGGGCTTTAAAGCTCACGCATAAGCGTAATGAAGGGCGTGGCTCTAATGTTGATATGAATGTATCTATTTTTTGGGAAGGTATAAAGTGGTACTCCCAAGGATTTTGAGTGATATATGTCGCGGGTGCTCGTACCGTTTCGTATCAAGTGCGTTCTACACTGATTTTTACCCACTAAAATAGGCGGGATGCGAGCGGACATAATGCAAAGGTGTGTATTTTTTCAACAGGTTGGCTGTAGCCCTTATTTCGGAGGCGGGTGTAATTGACATCATGGCGAGAGGTCTTCTAAATAAATGTGCGGCTTAAACTGGGGCCTTCCGCGGCCACACCGTCCTCTTGGAGGAAGTGTTAGACATCGCAAGGAATGCAGAACGCGACCTTCGTTCCGCGAGGGCCAGTTGTGGTACCAAACTGTATGAGCGCATCAGACACGATGGACCTTAGCCATGCTTAAAAAAAGAGATGGATTTTTCGCTGCAGAGCATCTCGGGGGAAATCGGAGATGTTTTATTTGTAGTGAAAGAAAACTTTGCATCTTGCGCGCCGTCCCACCCCATCTCCCATGGGGAGGTGAGCTCCAACACGGGGTCATTTGACGTGCCTATTGCAAGACAGTATCGAGTCCCAGTACGTGCATAACAATCATCTGGTTTAAATCGGCGTCCAATTGCGCTATGTTGTAGTCAACAGTAACGAAGCAACCCTAAAGAAAAAAAATCATCGAAAGTGAGAAAGCGCACAGCTCAAAATTGCCAATTGTGAGTATTAAACTCAGGCTTTGCGAGGGCAAATAACTATTTTAGTAAAGTAAGAGCTTCGAAAATTACGTACAACGCGCAGCTGAGAAATGCAATAGAGAGTGCGCGGAGGCAATCGAGATATTAAAGACGGAAATGGTATCAGTTCGTCTTGCAACGCAGACGCTAATGAAAGTGTCCAAGGATCTGCTAAACGTTCAGAAAATTTTTTGGTAGCTTGACAGCATTGAAAGCTGTCTCATCTTAGACCTTACCTCAGAAAATAATTCCATTCAAGGTATGGCACGCTTCGACGCTACGAGCCATGGGTCGACTAAAAAAAGGACTGTCACGATCTCTAGTGTACTTTCGTGCGACGGGAATGAACAATTAAATCCTGTGCTAGGTCCAGTGGAGGGTGAAAGAGACTGTTTGCTTAGACTCCTGTGACAGGGCAGGTGGAATTGAACGGCTATTGCATGTCGCGAGTAAGAGAACGGGTTCTGAGAATAAAAAGATTCTTGCCACGATGTGACTGTAAGGATGAGTAAGCATGGTCATGCGTGCTCACCGCTCAGAGAAGCGAATCTCCGCGGAAATTTAGCAAAAAAGACTATCTCGTCATGTCTAAATGTTAGAAGGTGTAGATAGTCTGTCGCTACATCCTGTAGAAACTCGCAACGAGCTGACGAAATTGTCCCTAGAGAATATCGGTAAGAAAATGAATAATGGTGAAGTCACTAAACGATACGGTTGGTACCGGGGGGAAAGCTGAGATCGTCATCCGTCATTAGTGAATTCTGTCGCTGAGAAAAGTCGCAGAGCACTGTGTGAGGATTCTGACAGAGCTCTAAAGATCCTTGCTGTTAATGAGACATCAGGCTGTGATGACAAGAGACTCACCACTTATATAAGATCAAATAGGGGAGTGCGTCACATAATTGACTTGTCTTTATAAGCAAATATTGCTTCACAAGAGATGGCCTTACAAAAAAATATGACATCATGTACATTTTGTGCGAAACACAGCAGTTTGGACTAGAAGAAGTCTACTCACTTGTCGCCGACTCTGTCAGAAGGGAAACGAGAAGTCGCAAATCGTGCATGCTTATAATAAGCTTAACGCAGAGGGACGATTCGTATAACGTATGGGCCAAACGCAAAATGTTATACGGTGCTTAAATTTCAAGAAGCAAGGAGTCTAAGAAATCAGATGTCGGTTTGTGGGGGCGGTCGGTCACAAGTATACACCACTATTGTTGATATGTGTCATGATGTATTACAGCACTGACATTCTTGATACCAAAAGTGTGATAGCATCTTATGTTGAAGGCACCCACTACAAAATAATTTATGAGACATGATATTCCTGATTACTTTCAAAACATAAAATATATAATGCTCGAAAAGCGCTGTGTACTGTTGGTATAACATGTACAAGGGGTTCAGAGCATCTATCTATACATGTAAATCAAGTCAGCACGCAAAATGCCCGTCGCGTGCATCCGCGCATTTGGCCAACCTGCTGAGTATAGCAAAGGGTTAGCCGTCCATAAGTACGAGCTTTATTTATAGTCCCAAAAAACGCGACCAGTTATCGCGGTATTGTGTTCTATGTAGACCGTCTGTGCTAGATGGCTTGTCGCGTTGCTGTCAGTGACTTCGTTTTCTGAACAAGCTGTTCATCGGTGAAGTGTTTTACCAACACATTTTGTCGGCGGTCATTGAGCCGGATCGAGATTTGCCATTTACAGCAGAGTTTGTTCAAGGTGCAAGGCAACAACTTGAACATGTCTGTCACTAACCATTTGCGGTTGGATGGTCAGGTTAAATGTCTTAGAGGATGCTTATCAAAGCATTTACATGAATAGACCGCTGTGCGCGAGCAAATTGCCCCCACTCATTATGTCTTTGACAAAATACGCTGTACATGCCTCAAGGCCACACCCTAACTTAACAAATGATTTTATTGCTCTACGCGTTCCTTTGACACCGCTACAATTAGGAATCGGTTTTGGCGGTAGGGGTTGACGAAACTAGCGAGATTGAAATACAATTACGCTTTCACGCCTAATGGCATCTGCTTGGGTAAAGCATAGCCTTTTGCGAAGTTGGAAGCCTCACAGAAGATATGAAGATTCTCAGTTGAATTTGAAACGCCAAAAACGGAGTACGTATGAGGTTAGGTTTCACTGCCTTGTAGGCCACGTCTTCTGTCACACAGCAGCTGCATCTGACATCCTTAATCAGAAAATTGGTAATGAGCTGAAGCATATTGGCATGATGTGGAATTTACTTGTGCACGTAGTTGCCGAGCCAATCCACTTTCTAAAGTCAAGATTGAGACTTACGCCCAAGACCATCTACATTTCTACACTTGCCTTGATTTTTGCTGGCTCTGCTCACAGGCCAAGTATCCAGTCAAGCATAAAAAATAGATTCGGCTACGCCAAATACGCACGTCTATATTAGCGAATAGCTAAACTAAGCGCATACACTAGAGCACTGCCCTTAAGTGTATAATATAGCTCTCAACATTCGACTTTCTGTGCTCTGCTCGACGATGGACCAAATATTGTCAAGCAGGTCTCTTCTTATTTAAGATGCGGCCTAAACAGCAGCGTCACCCGACGATGACTGTCTTTGGTGCAAAACAATCCCTGTGGTATAACCATTTAGTCCCGAGCATCCCGTTTGAGATACTCACAGCCGTCAGAGGGATATCTCTACATCTCAGCAGCAAGTGGTAGCACCCGTCAATCAGGTCGTAGACACTGAGCAAAGTGCAGTCACCAATACAATTCCAAAGCACATTTTATTCCAGTAACGGCGTTTGCGCCAAAATAGTGGCTGCGTTAAGCTTATTATAAGCATGCACGATTTGCAACATATCGACCCTTCTGACGAAGTCGGCGGCGAGTGGGTAGACTTCCTCTAGCCCAAACTGCTGTGTCTCGCGCAAAGAAAATCGTCAATAATGTCATATTTTTCCTTAGTAAGGCCATCAGAAGCAATATTTGGTTCTGGAAACAAGTCAGTCACGTGACGCACTCCCCTATTTGATCTGATGTGAGTGATGGGTCATTTGTCACCACAACGTGATGTCTCTTTAACAAACGACAGAAGGGATCTTTAAAGGCTCAGTCAGAATCCTCAAACAATGCTCTGCGACTTTTCTCAGCGACAGAGTCATCCATGACCATGACGGATGGCAACCTCAGCTCCTTCTCTGGTACCAATTGTATCCTTTTAGTGACTTCACCATTTTTCATTTTCTTACAGCTGAGGATAATTTCTTCAGCTCGCTGCGAGCCTCTGCAGAATGTGAGTAGAAAGTTACAACCCTTAGCACTCCAGAAACTCTAATCACTACAAGATAGTATTTCCCTTCATATTTCCGCGGAGGTTTGCTGCTCCAAACGGTGAGCCTGCCACATGGTAGTGCTTACTCAGCATTACAGTCACATCGCAGAAAAGATAATCTTTTTTCTCAGATCTTGGCTCTTTTACTCGCGACATGCAATAGCCGTTCAATACCAACGGCTCGGTCGCTTACACTCTCGATTGGATCTAGCACAGGATATAGCTCTCCATTTCCGTCGCGCCAAATTTAACTGGGAGCCTTAACATTCTATTGTTCTTTCCAGTCGACCCATGGCTTAAAGCGTTGAAGCCACGCCATACCTATGGTGAAATTATATTTTGAGGAAAGGTCCAGGGTGAGACAGCTTTCCATGTTGTCAAACTTCCAAATTTTATTGGAATGCTTAATAAATCCTTGTACACTTTTATAAGCGTCTGCGTCACACCACGAATCTATACCATGTCCGTCTATAATGTCTGGATTGACTCCGCGTACTCTTGATTGCTACCGAACGCTGAGTTGCGCAATGCTCTTACTCCGCCAAAAAAATTTACGGCTTCACCAAGCCCTCGACTTTGATGTAAATCAGCAATTCTGGATTTTGAGCTTTTTTATTGTTGGTTTTTTGCTTTAGGGATAATTTCATTGACATTGATCATGAGGTGGTTCAAAGACTTAGATATTAGTCAATAGCCTGCTTTTGCCTACCGGAGATCTAGAGTTTCGCTATAGGGGCTCCATTGACGACCTTGCGTTGAGACTGGATCCCTCGTGATTCTATACCGAAGTTTGAAAGGCGTTGCTGCTGCAGATTAACCGTTTGCGAGTATTTTGGAGCTGCTTATCAGTGAAGGGGCTTTTAACATGGTTTTTGCCTCTGGTATCCCTGTGAGAACTTTCTCCAACAGGCAGAAGTACTTAGTATATAATGCTATAAATATCAAAGTTCGAGAGGACGAGAAAATAGGCTGAACACGAAGTTTACTCTATTTGTGAGGCGCACAAATTTGAGGACCCTCCGTCAAGACGGTAGCTGTTACCGCCTCCGAAAAGGACTTGTCGCCAACGTGCTTTCAGCTTATAAACATAGACTGCTAATGCTCGCCTCAATTATCGAACAAAATTCTCAGTACATACTACGCTTGATTTGGCGGTGCGAGCACCCGTGACATCTGTTGCTTTAGCACTTGTCATGAAGAAATGTCTCTAAAATTGAGAAAGTGCGAATTTTTGCGTATGGTAAGGAGAATTTAGTACGACACGCAGTCTGTAAGCCTCACGTCGAATTATATAGAATATTTTGGAATCAAATGTAGCATAACCGTTATATCTAGTATCAGATTATGTATGACTATGTGTGATAAATATGACTCTTGAGTAGGAAAAGCCTTGTGTAGCAAGATGCCAACCACCTAAGTATCATACAAAATAGGCCCTCGGCCCCGCTCTCGGATGAAGCCATCGCACTCATCCTTCATATTTTAATTGATGAGGACACTTTAAGTCAAAGCACACCTTCGCAATGTGCATCGCAGCTTCATTACACTCAATACAATAGTCAGCTTTGGGATAATTAAACACAGTTTATTAGCTTCTGTCTTTAAAAGACCATATGGGAAAATACAATTGGCAACTCAAACTCCAGAAGCGGCAATTGCTTGACTGGATAGAATTGTCAGCTATAAAGATGGCGATAATTAGACGTATCAAGGGATACTCGAGCTTTTCGTCGCTGTAAGCATAAGCAGCTTCGCCGCGAGACCGCTTTTGCGAAACATCAAACCCTTTGTTAGTAGAAGCGGAGAAGATCTCTTTCTTTGAGTAAGGGAAGTTGAGGATGTCATTTGATTTAGCCATGTTTAAGCAACAGCGCATCGAGCTTGCGGTTTCCAAGGTATAGGATCACAAAGGTGGCCAATGTCACTCGACGTACGCGGCGAGATTCTATACGGCTGATATAAAGCGCATTTGTGATTACCTACTAAAACATGTCGCACCACCAATACATAGCACTCGCCGAGTATATCAATTTTCTACGGGTCGGACACCCGATGGGTTTCGTGAGCCTCATTCAGTATGAAGCACCACTACACACTGAGTGTCATGTGAGCCGTTAAGATAAGACATAGATATGCAGGTGCGCGAACGCACCCTTCAATAAAGTGGCATTTGAGTACCCAATCTTCTTGCTCCTTACAGTTTACAGCAGCGCAACACATGTTGTATCTGATCCGTACACTGTACATATTGCCTTTTCCATTGGCGACGTCACCACTGTGGCATGCGACAGTACATAGTCGGAGCAATATGAAGGCGCGTTTGCCACAACATTAAGTCGTCCGGCTAATACCATACATATATGGTATACTAAGCAACACAGGATCGACATTTTGCTTTTTTAAGTGAGCGATGTGATGACGATGTCGCTCTGCGCAATGACGTATTATTTGTATAGATCACAAACGGCTTAGTGCCAACCAGGTGCACCTTGAACATCACTAGTGCATATTTATTGGATGTATCACTTGGCCATGAACAGGTAAGTTCTCATCAGCAGCTGTGGTATGGTGAGAGACAATCGGGAGCACGCGTTTACGTCCAGTGGTATCGGTGTGAAAAAAAGCGTACCTTATTGCACGGGCTGAATCGTCACAGTCGACGTAAAACGAGCGATCCGCATTCGGGAAAGGTAGAATGGGGAAACGCATGAAGATTTTTGTCAATCCTAAAAGCCGCATTCCTCGCCGCGCGTCAACACCAATCACAATCCTCATATAAAAGATCGGTAAGAAATTGTGGTTTATCGGCATTATGTGCACTGTAGCTGTGCAAATGTTATGTCACTTCCATAAGTTTGTTCGGAACAGAAGAATTGGCCAACTTACTATGGCCTTTATCTTTGCGAGATTTTTCGCCGGTAATGCTATTCACTGGAGAAATCTGGAAAGGGGTTTTCTTCGGCGACAAATATTTGCGTGTCAATATTGGCATATAAATTATATTTGAGTGCATACAGTCGAGCATTGCTCGCAAGTATACGCAATTTCCACGGCCGAGATCCTGTTTTGAGCATGAGTTCGTTCGAATTTATCGTCAAAGTAGGTTTGTGCATAGCCGCGAAGTCTAAACTGCATTGATCAGACGGCTGAACGTCCTTGGATATTAAGACAGCTCTGGGCCGATGCGATATTTGTGCGTGGTGGATCTCTCGTCACGACGCCGTAATGTTCCTTCATAAGATGATGAAAAGAACCCTTGGAATCCTTTAGAATTGTTGTCCCACTCTTCGCACTGAGTGATAATAGGTGACGATTCGAGCCTCCTCACTGGTGCCAACTATACCATCTAGGTTCCTCATCGTCTTATACTCTAAGCAACACCTTAGAGATGTTTTTTGGGCTCAACGCAAGCTTCTGCTGGAAGGATAAGGTGGACTCATAGCCCGTAGGGTATCCTCGGTTATTTCATTCGCAAGGGAATGATCGTTCCTGCCACAAAGTCGAGGTCTCACACGGTGGACTTGCCACACAGTACAGCTAGCACAGCACACCATCGCATCACGACAAGGATACTCCATGCTTCATAACATTGAATCCGAATGTTCTAGTCGCAAATTGCTCATCAATTCCACCCGTTCTGGCACGATAAGACTGAAGCATGGTGTTTTCGTCACGCCATACTTAGAGTAGCATCAAATTTCGGATACAGTTTGGGAAAGGACTACATTTACAATGCGAAAGTCTTCAAACCATACTTGGGATTTCAACACAATTTCTGGATCTTAAACAGCGTCACTGTCACAAACTGCACATTTATCGAATCAAAATCTGCCATTTTTAATGCCCCCTCTTATGATCTGCTGTTCTTGGTAATCGCGCGTCGTAAACATTGCACAGCACTCCGGACCCATTCATGGGTTCCACGACTCATCAACAACCAACAACCATGAGCTGTGAGCCCCAACTCTCTGAGAGAATGTTGCTTCTTTGGGGATGGGTCCCATAAATCACGACCATTGGAACTCATCTCTTTGCCAGTAGACCGCATGCGCCTACTCAAACTTGAAGTTTGCCCATTAACAGTTGTCATCCGCTCTTGTGTGGGAGACAGATCGTTCGTATCAAAGCGCAGATTTTTTTCCTATCGCAGATAAAACATTTGCGGGTATTGCCGAGCAACTATTTTCATCATTAGGATAGCTGAGAGCTATCGCCTTCGGCGCTCTCGTTGAGCTTTTAACTCCAGCAACCCAACCCGCCCTCGTGGTACGGGATTTGCACTTTGGGTTCACAATGTGACGACCACCGCTTACTCGGTGCGAGCCGCACTCACGAAAAATTTCTTCAAATGATAGCAATCGTGACCGCTTTCGAGAGAGGGTTCGATATCATCGCGGATATTAAAGTTCTTGAATTCTGGACACAGTCCGTCAGCTCTTACCCCTGGTTGCATAACAAATCTTTGTGCATTCGATACGCTTCGTTAATTGTTGCGCAAACCCGTGGTATCTATTACTTCTAATCGTCCAACGTTCATCCAGGTATTGATGTAAGTGCCCATTCTCGTGCGCGAGCTCCTAGCTTTATATTGCAAGCTCGACATGCTGCCAAATCTATGGTCATATCAACTTTTCTCATTCAGAGAAAGATACTTTTCGCGTCCTTATTCTTGTAGCTCTGGACTGGATGCTCAACACCAGCGGTTTTCCAGTCGGAGCCATCTCTTTTCCCACCGGCACCCAGTTGAGGTGCTTCTGAACGTACCTCGTCAGTGCATTATCAGAGCAGGTAAACACCTCTAATCGAGCAATTTCCGCTTCCAGCCCTTTGGCTGCCAAATTTGTGATGCTTTTCAAAGTTATGGCGGACAAAAGCTTGTGGAGCTAGTCTATCTGTCTCGGGACAGGTGTTTGAAGAATATCATGCTCCATCCTCGCAGAGAATTCAGTCTTCCCACGACTCGGTTGTGAGATTGCCTTAAAGGGCTACCAATTGCAAAAGTTTGCCGTGCACTTTGCACAAAGAGCGCTTCAACTCTCAAAATCCGCATTAAACAAACACACAGAGGCTGGGCTCATGCGATCCTACAAAAAGATGTTTTTGCTATGCTATTTCCACAGTACATATTAAGTCTGGACTAACAGTAAAATCTCGTCAAACTAATCTTTTTCCAATGCGCGGCAAGCCGCCCGCGTGTACCTTGGACTTTTTCAATGCACGGCTAGCCACCCGCGTGTACCTCGGACCCCTCCTTTGGAGCTGCGTAATCTTCTTACTCTGCCTATACATGCCATTACACGAGTACTGTAGATAATATTTACTTTATAAGACCATGATATCACCAAGTTCCCACATTTTCAGCTATATTATTCTAGAGTATTTTTTTGGTATAAAATACTGGAGTATCAATTTAGACTTGGAGGCTCACTTAAAGTCGCAAGACACGCGAATAGTGCCAGCCTTGACAGCGTCAGGTGGGAGGTTTGCTATGTCATCACCAGCGGACATAAGAGAATTAATTGAAAGCGAGCGGGAGGATGTAGCTGAGCCAGCGACTCTAATTTTCACAGTTAGGTATCCAATCAGTTTGCCATTCTGGTCTATCAGCACCAATTCCTCTTCTGTTTCCGTGGTGTTTATCCTAGTTGCGTCAATATCTAATGTTGCAGAGCCGAGGCGCACATCCACAATCATACTTTTATCTTTCAAAGATACCACCAATCTCGAGTCGGCTCCGCTGCGATGCAGCTCCTTGGCAGTCACCGAAAATGTAAAACTTTCGTTCCATGATGCATGACCGACCAGATCATTTTTCTGATTCTTTGTGAAAGTCATCTTGGTCGTATTTGTCCGATTCGCAGATTTGCCAACATGCACAGAGATGTATGGCGAGATATTGGGCATGCTGCTCCCTAAATTTCCCAGTCCAAGCATGCCACTACCAGTTGAGCTTGTAACTACCATATCTCTTAGCGACAGTATCGTCACGAACACTTGATGCTTTTCATCAGCAAAAGTAGTGCCATGATTCGAATTCTTGGCACTGTACTTTCTTGGCATCACGAGCGGATACTCCTTCTCTGTTATTACATGGCTTCGATTCTTTGTTGTGTCCCCAGGCTTTACTTGCGTGTGCACCCATTGGGCTAAGTCTGACGAGTACTTGGGCGGTTTGAAATCGTCGAGTAATTTTGACATACTGATGATGCACTTCCCGACAGTCTTGGCCACAGTTCCACCGTATGAATCTTTCACCACAAACTGTACCTCGCTTTCCTCGCCAGTTAATACCACTTGGGTCTTCTCTTGCCAAACAGGGTTTACAGTGTTGTAAATAACAGCGGTTTTCATGACATCAACACCGTTAATGCGAACAACACACAACGGATCGCACGACTTATCCGAATCCAATCCATTTGCACCCAGTACCTCTAACTCCAACAACGCCGGTCTATAATGCTCCTCGTCAAATTCTGCAATAACCTTGCCATTTTGAACAAGCTTTGGATTGCGACGCCGGCCGCCGAATGGAGAACGATCTACAACTGTTGACTTTACACCCAGCGCTAGTGTATGAGACGTTGCCGTGAGACCCTTGAGTAGGACGACACCGGGGCCTGTAATACCTTGCACCGTGCCCTGTACAAGTCCAGTGACACCGCCCTTGATAGCGCCTTCCACAGGTTTTGTGAAGATGCCAGTTAAGCCGCGACCAAAGTCCTTGGCAAACTTGATTCCAGCATTATCGGCAGACGAGTTACTCCCGTCAGTATTTGTAGCACGATTTTCATCCGCAAATTCACCCACAAACTTGTCCAACGAGCCCGTGATCTTTGCAACTGACGAGGCGCTTGATTTTACAATTGTTTTGCCTAGCATCTTGACTCCCTCACCTCGAGTTTGAGCATCACCCGTTAATTCTCCTTTTGTGATCTTCAGAAACTCTACTACACCAGAACCTAAATCTTCGACAAGTCCGATTGGGTTCCCTATAATGTCTGCGCTTCCAATTAGACGGTAAGCCTGCATCACGCCTTGCTGAACATAATTTGCTATTAATTGATTTTGAAGTCGCTGCTTTGTCGTGAAGCAGCGCAAAATTACGATTTCGCTGAAACTAAATGTGGGCGATCCAGAAAGGTTTGACCCTATAAGCCCGATTATTTGGCTCAGGAATCCAAAGATTATCGAATGACCCTCACCCGTCGAAGCGACAATATCTTTGCGCGTGATAGAGTACTCCAGTTCCACAGACAGCGACGATATACGCAAAACGTCGAAATACACCAGATCTGTCTGAATCCCACCATCCCCCGTCACTGTCATTATTGGCATTTGTGGAGCACGACGATCAAGCGCGCGCTCCAGCGTCACTTTTGAACGGTGGGCCACGGTCGCGTCGGAAGTTAAGTATGGCTCCAGTAATTTGACAAGATTTACCATGTAGTCAATATCGACCTTAACCGCTAGATCACTTAGGGTAAATTCGAGCAGTTTATAAGTTCCAAATCGAGCCTCGAGATCTGCATCTAACACAAGTTTTAAAAACGGTTCTGGTGCCTTGCCAACGGACTTGTCACTATAGCCCGCATTCACTGGGTTCATTATAACAGGAAACTTGGCCGTTGCGAGCATATTGTCTACTTGGCAATGCAACACCGAAAACGTCCATTCTAACGAGGCAGGCGCTTTTCGCACTTGAATTACATCCACCGACGCGAAAAACACTTCCTGTGGCCATCCATCAAGTACGGAAAAGCCAAAACCATCGAATCTGATATCGAACGATGACGCATATAGCATTCTACGTTGTTTGAGATCGCCTTCGCCGTCAGGATCTTGGCTTTCTATGAGGCCGAGCTCCAACTCTTTTTCTGTAATCTTCAACACGCGAGTACTCGTTTCTACGACCACTTGAGCGATTAGCTCGACGGGATGCTTTTTTTCGCCATCGCGGGATACCCACATGGTAATCGAATCTAGGTAGCCTACATAGTCAATGTCGTACTTTTTGGTTTGCGTCTTGGGAGAATCAACATGTGAAAGGCGAAGCTCAACATGGCGCTCTTTTGATAAAGGATTAAACCAAGCAAATGCATGCCACGCGCCCGGTTTGATGGTGGCTGCCACCTCTTTGTGCCCACCACTGAAGATAGATGACTCGCCCAACTGTGCACAGTCCACTCTGAATGGCGTGTAATTCTCGATACGATATGGAGGTGCACATGACACATCCGTGAGAATCACATAAACATACATATCAACCACTTGCACGCTTGCTTGGCAGATGATATGTCGCTGGCGCACTGATGAAAATATCTGCAAGTAAAGATCACCTGCTGTATTAATCGGTATCGCAAAGGACCAGTTTTTTTTGCTGGCGTCGGTGTTCCAGTCCTTCGTGAACGAAAACGACACGTAACGCTGACTATGCTGCACCGACTCGCCCTTTTTTAGCGGGCCAAAATGATAAAGTGGTGTTGTCTGTCCATTCTCGAGTGCTAAATGCAACTGCTTCACGTCTTCGAGAGATCGTCTTTGAAACATCTCATCAACTTTTCTTGCGTCATTCTCTTGCGAGGCGAAACTTTGGATGTAGAGCTTTTGATTCAACCTATTCTGCACAAAATATCGGGGACTCAGTGTGAGCGAAACACCCGGCTCAAATAGTCCGTATAGACCTTCCATTTGAACGCTAAAGACGCTCGGGCCACAAACAATTTCACCCATCGTATTAATTGCAGTCGTGTTGATCGGTTCTGACCATTCCGCGTGTGCAATGGCATGTTTTGACACAGTGGAGGATTTGTACGCCACCTCTGGCATCTTACCCAGTGTACCCCATGCTTCTGGGCGGCGATTGAGATTAATAAGTGGTTTTAAGCTCATACGGTTGTGCTGAATTGAAGTCATCACTGGGTAGCTAAATGGTGCACAAACATCCATGGCTTTGAATGAGGTTCGGTTTGCACTAGGTTCGATCAACGCGAACGCAAAAGCAAGGGAAGTGTTATTCACAATCCAGTAAGGACTAGAAAAACGCACAAGGCGGGGATGACTTGGGAGGGTAATTCGGTCAATGTTAAATCTGAGACCAATGTCGGCTTCAATCTCCTCTCTAGATGTCGTGAATTGCTCGACTCCCTTGTGTATCATCATCAAAAGTGGCTTTGACCACGAAGATGCAGCATGCTTGCCTGTGTTCTTCTTCCTGGAAATAAGTCGAACAGACAGATATCCTGGGTGTACCCCAGATATGCCAGACACTTCAGTATCGTGTCCCGATTCTACCACACCACTCAGCACGCGTTCAGACGGCTCTGGTGCACTTTCACGCCGCAGAAGCGCTTCAACTTTGGCATAATCAGCCTTCATGTCTTTCATTGAACTAGTCTTGTACTCGATGAATCGGTACTCTAATTCATACGGAAGTGAGTTGCGTACAACAAACGGAGGTAAAAGCGCTAATTCCCAATCAAAGTAAGACCTTAAGTGCCAACGACGCACAATCATGTTGGGCGTTAACCTTTTGATGACTGTAGCGCAAGTGTCCGCGGTGTCTCCATAGACAATAGTTCCACCTCGACGCTCTTTTTTCTTTGACTCTCGTTTAGCTTCATGTGCATCAAGTTCCTTCATGGCCTCAGCCGATGTTAAGACATCGTTGTTCAATGAAGTCTTCACGATCCAGTGTTCGTGATTTACAGGGCGAGCATAGAATTCCGTCATCCCCATAAGAAGAGATAGCGGTAGCGAAATGCGCTCATTTGGTCGCAACTTAATAATAGGAGATTTGATAGACTTTCTCTGTTCACTTGCCAGACTCAGATATTGCATTTCGTAGGACTCAGAGCTATGATTGCAGAAGTAAGTGTTGGATCGTAGCACAATCAGCTGACGCCGAGAATTCTCCAAGCGTGAGAATACGGTAATGAACAGAGTGGAAGGCGACGCCTTCGCCGTGCTCACACCAACACTAACTTTACCAAATGCAGGCAAATTTACAGCAGTCTTGCTTGTGCCCCACTGATCAATGCTTAGCGAATTAAGGGTCGCTTTACCATACTTCAAAGCTCCATTTTCTATAAGGGCACGGTCGTGTGCCTCAACTTCGATGGGATGGTCAATACCATTCAACTGTAGGATGATTTTGCATCCCGTCAGATTTTGTACCAGGCAATCATTCTCTTTGTGTCTCTTCGCGGCGGTGGAGCATTGAATGCTGTCTTGACGCTTTTGTAAGGCATTCTGCTGGGCCTCGCCGTCAAGTGCGTCCATCAAGGCACGGTAAGTTTTTAACACACTGGGCGTCACATTGATCTGAAAACGCTTGGCAGCTTCTATCAAAACAGAGCAACCGTTTTCGCCAGCCTCAGACGAGATGCCGACGACCAGATCCCATGGTTCAATAATATGCTCCATGTCATTTGCCATATCACTGAAGCAGGATGAGGACATCTTAAACCCACAAAGAATTGTCCAGGCAGAATTGCCAGACGTTGTCAAGCTAACCCAGTCTATGGGTCCGATCTCGTCAATGTCCTTGCCATTTAATTTCATTGAGAACTTAACATCTTTTACAATCAAATCTCCACGAAAAAAGCGTGCAGGTAATTCGGTGTCTGTAAGAACAAAGCGCAAATTGCCCATTTTGACATCAGTTGTAAACTGCAACTCCTTTTTCACTGGGTTCACGTCCTGAGTGAATTTGCTTACAAGTTGCTCAACCTCCTCCAAAGCTTCTTTAAAAATGACGTCGCGTTTCTGCTTTGCAATCACCTTTGCCGCACTTTGATACTCACTAATGCCTCCACAGCGCGTTGACGGCTTGAGAAGCCATTCGAACATAACGCGATCTGTGCAACCATCTTGTATCGCTGGCAACACAAACGCGTCCCAGATAAGGTTAGCTGCATCATAATTTTTTAGCAAACGAACCAATTTCTTCTGCACATCTACAGGATTTTGGTCGCCCAATGATCGATTCGTGACGTGAGCTTCGCTACCAAACAGTTCCCAGAACCGACACTCGAAAACCGGTCGTTTGATCCATTCGGCGAGCTGCTCAGTTGAAGTGATCTTTGTCTCACACATATTATTTATCACCTCAAACGAATGGTACTCATTACCACGCAGATTCAAAAATCCAGTAAGAGCACTGCTGCCGCTTTTAGAAGTTAATTCAGCGGCCGCAGCTTCACCAGATAGCAAGTCATCGCGCAAAAACTCTCGTAGCTCTTGAAACTCTAGGTATCCATTGCCGTCTTGGTCGATTTCCTTGAATAGCTCACAGACAAAGTACTCCAGCTCGCTTTCAAGCAGTGTATCACCGACTTTAACGCGGCGAAGCAGGAGGAGGAGCTCGGCCAACTCAATACGCCCGTTTCCGTTCTCATCGATTTCGTCAAAAAGACGATGTAGGCGATCGAGAATCGTATTGACTTCAGCCTGACGACGAATTTCTTCTTGTTTGATACGACTCTCGAGGCGGAGCCGGGCTTGGTCGGGCGTTGTCGTCTGAACGCTTGCAAGAGCTTCTCCACAGGACGCCAACAGCGATAAACTGAGGTCCGATCCAGCTACCAATATATCTGGCATGTGTATCATCACAGTCTGGTGACACGTTAATGGGTTCTTAGCGTCTTGTTCGAGAACGAATTGAAAAGCAATGCTTGTTGGGGCTAAGACGGTCTCCATATCTCGTACTTCTTCAACGTATTGCGCTCCAACGCTAAGGTTGCTAACTTGAAATTTTACAATCTCTTTCACCTTGGAGCTCTCTAGATGAATGCTTAGTGTTACCGGTAAGTCAACGCGACAGTTCACGACATATTCACTTTGAGATGTTTCCACATTTACATCCGTGAACAACAATTTTGTGAACGATTGTGTTGGAAGCAAGAGGATGCGACAGTCATTCAGGCCCACATCAAGATTTAGCAGCATGCCGCCGAGTAGACTGAAAGGCGACATCGATACCTCTTTAACCATCGCATCTAGCTCATTTTTCATGACTTGCACCATCGCAGGCGTTGATTCAGTGTGAACAACAGGCGTGATGGGCGGACGAGCAGTCGATAGTACTTGAGTTGCCTTTGTCGTAAGTCGATCAACGTACAGCAAGAAGTGCTCGAGAGCATTTGCAAAAAGCACCAAATTTACATTATTCACAACAGCTCGTACGTCCATCTCTCCCCTTTCATATTGGCTCATGTGAGCAGTAAGCATCTGAGGCGGTGTGATACCATCTGACTCGGCAGCCACTTTACAGAAGTCGGCAAACAATAGCTTTGCCGTCGGAGAAAGAGGGCTTAGCTCTGAAGTTCCAACAAATACGGCGAAAGTAGTCTGGTTCAGCATCAAATCTACGTCAAGCTTAAGTTTCTCCTTGCCATCCGCAACCGGGAACATGCGCACATTGACACCAAAGCCGATCACTACCATCTCGGCAACCTGGTGATCGCGTTCACCAAAATTAACGCTCATATTATCCCAGCGCAGTGCAATATGCATGACTCTGAACATGATGTTGCTTGGCTTGGCAGCGTTTTCTTGCACAACTGCAGTGTAATCTCCAAGCGACAACTCGTCTTGATTGCAACGGTAGAACTTAGCCAATCCAGTCGCACGACTACGAAGCTTTAAAATCTTGTTCAGCGTCATTGAAAGTTCCAATTTACTCAGCTTTTCGTTAAGATTTTCCTTCTCCTGCGTCGATAGAGACTTGTTTCCATTCACTTTATCATAGTTTGCCAGATAAAATGTTTCATCTTCTCGAGAAATATGCTTGCAAACCGACTCATTTTGCTCCAGCATGCGCATCGACTGTACCAGAACCTGGTGGTCCGTGTATGGCACGTAAATGTCACGTAGCACTCCAACTAGAGGCTCACGTACGACAGAAATGGTATTTACCGACGACGATGCAATCTCTACTTGTGCTAAGCGATGCTTCATGGGGATGGGAGCGATGGAAGCCACGATTCCCAGCAACCTTGGCATGGGCGGTACTCTGACATTTAAGGAAAGAGCAGAGATAGAAACTAAAGCTTGTTCGCAAGATTGCACCCCACTGCTGTCCTTAAGCAAAGACTGCTTTTTCTCAACGGCCGCAGTCACACCCTCTTCTTCATCCTTGATAGTGGAAGCACAGATATTCATACCTTTCAATGTCAATGCGTACTCCACAAGAATTGTATTTGATGTCAAAATAAGTTGCAAAGCCTCTTGGTTGTTTTCATGCAGGACATCTGTGAGCAAGTCCAGCGACTTCATCGAGAAACTCACGCGTGTGGGGTTCAGCCTTACGGCAATTGAGCTGGTAGTTGCTCTGTCTGCCATTTCGTCATCCTTCTCAGCTTCGTCGTCATGGCCATCAATGGCAGCATTTCCTGGGGTAAGACCTGTCAGAGAAATTCGGACATTTCTCACATGGACGTCCACTTGAGAAGCAATTTGCTGGAGCACTCGATCCTTGAAGGAAAATGTCGTCGACCGAGCATTGGCGAAATCCTGCTCCTGTTTCTGTCGAAGCTCCGACGAGGCACGCTCTGTCGTCAACATATTAATCCAATAGGCCGCCTCATTTAACTTCATAGTCACAGCATCTTGCAGCCCAAAACATCCTTCAACGTTCGGATCCACAACTGTGCCATCAACAACTACCCCTTCCACCTTGACCACTACTTTCCAGGTTGTAGCTAATTGTATGACAACCTCTTTTATGCTCACATTCTTCAGATCCACAGGCGCTAGTCCTTGCTTGGCGAAAGCTAACGTCTTGAGGAACTCGCTCTGCAGCTGGACAAAAAAGAGCGAGATAGTGATGCCGCGTAACATCTCCGAGGTGCCACCGCCACCACGCTGTCCGCGTACCGTGAAGGATCCAAAAGCGTACTCGACTCTCATGCTATCAGTTAGGTAGATGGCCGTGAGCTTGTGCACAAGACTCGTAAGTAGTGGAAAGATCGTGTAGCGAGCCAGCACCGGCACGACGCATAGTGACAGCGATACGCAGACACTCAGTAGCGTGAAAGCCAGCACCCCAAGCATGCCGGGTGAGCGGTTGGCGAGAAATGGCAGCAGCTTGATCAGCAAAGAAGTCCAAGAGGGAAATGATCACCACTCCTAATTGCGCACGGGGTGGCAGCTCTACAAATGATGCGATCTAAGATGCGTTGAAGTTTTTTACTCGATTTTGAAAAACCTCGGTCGAAGGACAAGTCTTAGCATAATAAACTAAATGACAGCTACTTATGATGATATGATCTTTAGACTACAAACAAAATACTACTACTGATTATTATCCTTACGATCTCCTCCTCACTTTAATCAACGACAAAGACAGGACAGAAGATCGTGTACCGGTAAATCCGACGCTCGTTCGGCAGCCATCATGCAAGCGGTATCTTCGTATCAGCGTAAACTATTTACGTTAGCGTTCATCGTACGCGATTGCGTTGGATCCAAGCAGGTACTTTTGGGTTTGAAAAAGCGTGGATTTGGCATGGGCAAGTGGAATGGATTCGGTGGTAAAGTTGAGGTTACGGACGCTAGCATCGCGGCCGCAGCGGTAAGAGAACTGGAAGAGGAGGCTAATGTAATTGTGAAGGCAGAGGATTTACTACCGTGTGGTATCCTGTTCTTCTCGTTCGAAAAATCTGAGGAGATGATGGAAGTACATGTTTTTTTGGCGCATAAATTTCTTGGTGAGCCGTCCGAGAGCGAGGAGATGGAGCCTCAGTGGTACGACATTTCCAAGATCCCATTCAAAAGCATGTGGGTAGATGATTGCTATTGGCTACCGCATGTGCTTGATGGCAAAAGCGTTCAAGGCCAGTTTTATTTTGCCGCAGACGAAAGCACACTATTGGATCATCGGCTCGAAGTAACAACACAAACTAATGGCGATTGCTGAAACAACAGCATTGCTCATTTAAGATATCGCTATAATGAGTCAGATCGTAAGCCATTATTGTAATATAGAAATTTATTGGACGAAATATCTTCACTCGTTGCGGCACACAATAGCAACTGCAAAGCACCTCATTCCTTCATGTCCAGCGATGCCAATGCAATGAGTTTGGCATTTTAACGCAACAACGCACAGGTTTCTCATCAATTCGTCGGTCGCGTGGCGATCCAATACAGTGAATTTGTGCGCGAGTTTCCGTCGTCAAAAAAAGTCAAGTTCTGGACTTTAAACCAGGCATCAAGAGGGTTGATAATGGCCAAGTCCAGATACGCGTAGCCTTTCCAGAGGTCATTAATTGGGTCCTGGACGCGGTCGAAGGCCTGCTGCTGTAAAAGGGGATACTCCTCCTGGACGTAAGTAGGTTTGATAAACATGTCCGTGATAGGCGTGAATGGGATCATGTTAATCAAGTGCATGTGCTCTATCTGTGGACCAAACCATGTCGTGTATGAAACTTTTGTAGCAGCTACTTGACCCGTCATCTTGTTGGCAGCATAGATTGGCTCGTAAATGTTTGACTTCGATGGCATCTGCCAGTATGTCTGAGCACCACGAATCTCAAGAGTCAGCAAAAGATGGCCCATGTGTTCTATCTGCGGGACATGAAATGTTTTGCCAACCAAATACACGCCATAGTAGGCATTGATCGCTTCACTCACACTCTCTTGTGACTTGCCACCATCCAGAGTGTAGATGCCACTGGCAAACGAGTGGCCATCAAACCATGAAAAGTGGCGAGTGAACGGGAAATACGTACTGCATCACAAACATCAATCGACACATTATTTCTGATAAGGCATAACACATAACACAAAAAAGCTCACTCATTTTGGTCGGGACTAGCAATATCACGAACAATTGACACGACAACTGCCTTGTGCTTTTCGGCAAAATCCGGGTGATATTTAGCTATTACTGCGAGGGCGTACAACATATATCCATAGTGAAAGTGCTGCACGAACACAATGTGTCAATATAAGAACAAATACACTATTAATTTACTGTACGTACGTGGTCATTATACCAGCCGTTGCCAAAGTCCGTCATCCAGAAAACGCCCTTTAGTCCGTTAAGTGAACACAAACCACCCCAGCTGCGGTCGTACACAAAGTGATCACTATTCTGGCCGAGCATCCATGGAGTTACCCATTTCTCTAATCGATTCAGGATGTTATCACGAAGTTTGTGTTCATCAAGTTGATCGGCTATAAGTACTAAACGAGCTTGGCGGGCAATCTCCTTTCCAAAAAAGTACGGGTCATCAGCTTCTGGCGTGTAGTTGGAGTCGTTAGCAAGCGAAAATTTGATTGCTTCGATTTGTTGTGGAGAGATCGATACGTTTCTTTCTTGAAAATGGACGGCTGGTAGAACTTCCTGCATTTCCCAGCAACTACCGACCACCGCTGTCATATTCGATTTCAACGTTCGATGTCCCAACGATCCAAGCACTTGAAATAGCTTGCTTTCTGTTTGTAATGTCGCAACATGGTGTGGATTTGCCATCATCAGTAGCTTCGTGGCCGGTGACGAGTCGGGAAATTGTTTTGTCTTCCAGCAAAACGAGAAGGTGGCAGAAGTTTCGTTCACGTCCGTCGTAATCGCTGAGCTTACTGGATATATCGATGCAGAACTGTCTAGAACTTCCACCGCACTTTTCTGTGGAACAATCGCCAAACGAGCTACTCCAGAGTAAAAGTCCGTGTCGACCAAACGAATGTTGGTCGGCGTCGTCAGTTCTCCCCGACAATTGTACGGACGATAATCCAATTCATCAGAAAACTGTAGCTGGAGTGTCCTAATCTTTTCAAAGTACAAAATCCATCTTTGAAGACATTTGCCGGTACCACGTGCGCTTTCACCCGCGCCATAAACTTCAATTTCGAGCTCGAATCGCTTGCTAGTCCACGTCTGCAGCATACGTTTTGGACTCTGTTTATCGTTTAGCTTCACTCGTTCACCATTGATAGATAAAATCGAAGCGTTGAACTCGAGTACTGGTAAGACATTCTGGTATTCCACTGTGATGTATGGCGATCCTCTTACCATCGGAATTCTCATATACTGATTGTCGTCTTCATAAGAATATTGAAGCAAAACGGATAAGACGTCAAAGCTTAAGACGGTTCTGGATGTGCTATTACCATCACCAAGCAGAAGTGAGTCGGAAGAACTGGTATTCACCACTTTGTGGCTGTAAGCTGAAAAACTGACATCGACGTTAAAGTACTCCGTGATAGCAGATTTAGTAGCCACGCGCCGAGAGTCTCCATAAGAGATTTCGAATCGTTTAGGCAGACTTCGGATGGTATACGGACTGAGCGTAATTTCGCCAGCCCCTGCGTTGAGGCCGTGCCCATCGGCAGCCATGAGATTTGACCAGAACTCATTAGTCGGCAGCGATCGATTGAAGTCACTGCGCTTTACGAGCTTCGGTGGGACTGGGTGCATTTTCTCCTCAAAATGCGGTTGCATGGTCAACAGCTCGGCGTCCGATAGACCGACAACAGTGGGCGCGGCGGTTGGTTCGTCAGCGGCTGTGGGAGCGACATTCGATCCACCTGAAGATTTGTTACTGCTGATCAGAATTCCAATTGTCACGATAGCCACGACCACTAGAGGCACAACCACATAAAGCACGCGACGCAGCGTAGTGCGGTCAATTCGTTGGGAATTTGAGCGGCTATGCAGCAGCGGCGAGTTCTCGTTCATGACTATTAGCTAGTTTAGCCAGTAAATCAGTGAATGCTTGAAAAGATACGGTCATTAAAAGGGAGGTATCGCTTATCAGCCTAGATTGATGACCAATCGAAGATCAACAGTATCAAGGGTACGTGGCTACATGGTCCAACACTGTAATTTGTCGCAAAGAAGGCATGTATGCCATAATCGTATGCCTGAAAAAATCATATTTTGCGTCAGCCATCCATGTTGGCTGTTAGTATAGCGATTGGTGGACAGGGGTACGATTCGGTAGATTCATACTTGCGGAGTTGTATTAAATATTAGTTCTCTCTAGTAAATCTCTAGTAACTGATTTCTCTGTATACTATGAATTGGGGGAATTCCGTTGGTAAAATTCCTCTTTTGGTATTGTGGAAAAGACTGAAAGCGCGGTTGAGTGACACCGTCACTGTTCGCTTAGCGACGGAATTTTGTATCACGGTGCCGAGGGTCCCTGGGACCTCGGTGTCAAGTTTTGTGATTTCGATAGCGTGAAACGCTGTTTAGTCGTAGACCCTCATCCTTGGTATGGCATGGTTGGAACACCATGAGCCGTCGCTTCTATATTAAGCTGTCATGGAGGACACCAAGAGGGTGCTAAACGCACGAAGTGGATATTCAGTCCTAAGGAATCTCTCGGATCCGTACTATCCTTTGTATAGGAATTTCAAGACGTCGACTCTATCGAGCCGCCATCGATCCTACCTCCAGACCAAGGAGTGCGTCATGACATCGACCAAGTTCCGGGAACCAAATACTGCGTGACACGCTAATGGCCCCTGCCCAAGGGCAAGTCACCCCATTCGACACCCACGTTTTGGATCCGGAAGCCCAAGAGCAAGTCACCCCATTCGACACCCACGTTTTGGATCCGGAAGCCGAACGGCAAATGACGCATCGCTCACGTTTACAATAAGCTCAACGCTGCCACCATTCTGGCACAGACGCCGAACATCCTGGAAAGGATGTTCTCCAGAACAACATAGTTGGATGTACAAAGTAAAGTGCGCTTGACTTGGTCGATGGGTATGACCAATTGCTCATGAGAGCGAGTGATATTCAGCTGAAAGCGGTGAGTACTCCGAGCGGGACGCTCTGGGAAAGGCTGGTGATGCCCCAAGGGCTGTTGAATGCGCCTGCAACATTTAATCGTCTTGTGACGCAGTTGTTCAGGCCCCACCGGGCGTATGCAAAGACATACTTCGACGACAACTGCGGCTACAGTCGTGCGGGGCACGGGAAGACAGATGATGAGAGCCACATCGTCCATTTAAGAGCGGTGATCGAGTACGTGCGCACGAATAAGCTACATGCTAATGCAGATAAGTGCATCTTCGGCGCCTTCGGGCGGATCTTGCTAAGGTAAAGGCGATTGTAGACTGGCCGATTCCAAAAAAAAACAGAAGGACTTGCGTAAGTGGCTTGGCCTCGCCAACTACCTGCATAAGTATAGCGAGAATTATGCAAAATAACACGGCCATTGTCGAATGTCCTGTAAAAGGATGCGGAATGGTGTTGGGACACCGAGCATCGGGAGGCTTTGACGGGGTCAAAGACAGCCTCCTTCATGCGCCAATACTGGAGTTGCCAGACTCCGATCGCCCTTCAAGTGTCGTCTGTGACGCTTCGGACTTTGCCATCGGCTGTGCACTGCTGCAAGCAAACGCCGAGAGACGGGATTGTGTAATCGCGTTTGACTCTCGCCAGCTTAAGGGTGCACAGAAAAACTACCCAGTCCGCGACAAGAAATTATTTGCGATGAAGGCTTGACTCGAAGCTGATTGTAATCTATACAGATCATGCGTTACTACGCACTGCGGTTCAGTCGCCTCACATTTCGCAGAGGATGGCCAAGGGGCTCTCCTTCTTCCCAGAATGTAACTTCGAGGTGAAGTATAAGCCAGAAAAGCAGTATGCTTTGGCTGATGCGTTGTCAGGCAGACCAGTACTAATGTCACGACGGGGACGTCGTCAGAGACGGATTTGATTCGCGCCGCATACGCGGGGGATAATATGTGCGTAGCGCTGCTACGAGCTCTCGGGAGCAAGGAGCTTGAAAATTCAGACAAGAAGTTGTCGGCGCGATTGCGTGCGTGGTTACATCGATATTCGTTGAATAACAACTTGCTGTAGTATAGCACCGATTTGACGGGTACACCACGAATTGTGGCTTATCACGATGGGAATTTGAAGTACCGTATCTTCTACGAGGTCCACGACACCCCACTCAGTTGTCATCTCGGTCGTGAGAGGACGTTCAGCTCTGTGAGCTGCCACTACTGGGGCTTTACAAATGGACGAGCACCTATGTGCGCATGCGTTAGACTTGTCAGAGGGTGAAACCCTCCCCGAATCCGGCGGCGCCGTTGGCCAGTTTACCGGTACCCTCCGGGTGTTAGCAGTCCATGAGTATGGACTTTATGTTTGGCCTGCCGAAGGACTCGGTGTCGATACAGCGACGCTGTTTGTGGATCGTGTATTTCGACAACATGGACTCCCGGAGTCAATTGTTTCTGACAGAGACCCACACCGGAAAGGTTTGGTCTACAATCTTCAGGGTGCTGGGCACCAAGTTGACTATGTCAGCAGCAGACCATCCGCACACCTATGGTCAGACTGAGCGCGTAAAATACGTCGTTGATGACGTCCTTCGCAGTGTCTGCGCTGAGACGCTGAGGCGCTGAAGCCCCATACTGCCACTTATGGAGTTCGCTCTGAACAATACAGTGCATGCGCCTACCGGCTCCACTCCGTTCTACGTAAACGGTCTCGTTCATCCTCGCGTCCCGTTGACGCCGCCATCCCATGGCTCAGGGCTTGGTGGGGGAGAAATAGCCGAGCTGCTTTTTGATGTCAGTCTCTGCACTCTGTGTAAAAAGTCGAAGACTTCCTGTCTACCAGACTGAGTGTCTCATGACACGTTTGCGATGTGATGGCTGAAAGCCAAGCCATGCAGAAAGAATATACAAACAGAAGAAGCAGAAGTTTTATTGTATGCTAGAAACCTTCTTACATATGCAGTTTCGGCTGTCTTTAAGGCGAAGATCCGTCTACAAGTTATCAAATCTTTGCGGTCGCGGCAAAGCAAAGCCTTGCGTATACGCTAGACCTTCCCAGAAGGTTGCACACCCACCCTGCGTTTTATATGGGCTTGCTTAACCCGTACCGGGATCCGGCGCAAGTGAACGCGGAAGCGTTGGCGTCGGGGCGGTGCCCACAGGCGCCCGACCACCCAGAAACTGGGCCAGCAACTGGTTCTGAGCACGGAGTGCAACGATGTTTATCTCCAACTGCACCAGGCGCTCCACCGTCGCACAAAGTGACGCATCTGCTCGGCGGCCAGAAGCCGCTCCGACAAAGCTCAAAAGCCTTCAACGTGAGGCAGTTGATGCACAAAGAGATCCAAGCTTTGTAGGTCTTCCGCACAGCGACCTCGGCATGATGATCAGCGGAGCACCGATGGAGACGACCTTGTCCTCAAGAGCTCGAAGATCATCTCAAGTCACTGGACGGCGATCGACCCAATCGTCATCGTCCGCCGTCGACTCTTTTCGACGAAAACTGTGGCGTCCACTACCCCGTGGAACGTCATGTGGGTCGACGTTGTCGACAGGGTCTAACCCAGTATCTTGTGAAGCGGCGGGGATACCTAGACTTCGAGAACTTGGGGCAGTTTGAAGTGCCATATCGGCAAGACTGCCCAGACGTCGTGGACGCTTATGACCAGAGGGGTCGTGACGCTCCGCGTCGTCGCACGCCCGCGCTTTTCGGCAGTAGCCAGGGCATGAGCTGAGCTCAAGCTGTGTCCCCAAGCTGCTGTGGTCGCGGACTCACCCGTGTGAGAGACAGCAGAGCTCGCGGGAACGTGGTGGGTAAATCTATACGTCGCAGGGCGACAATACGAAGGAAGTCGACGTTGCGCCTTAAGTTTGGCGAGCTCGAAACGAAAATAGCGTTTCACGCGCACGTCCTCCTTGCGGCTCCGCTATAAGTTGGGCAGCGAGATGAGTTTCCGGTGTCGCTGTATCCATCGCTTAAAGAGATATTCATCATCTGCCCAGGGGCGAGTATCGCAGGAATCGTCCGCATTGCGGTACAGAAGCGCCTCCTCTTTGAGTGCGAAGTTGAGCACGATACCTATCAATTAAAATTTCTTGAGGTACGAAAAAGTGAGCTCGGAGAGCTGTTCGTTGGCCAAGATCGGCTTGTGTAGTGGCCGGGCGTCCGATTACGTAGACGCCCATCGATCGAGTGATCGCGTCCTTCGCATCAGTAGCTGGGTCCACCGAGCTGAAGCCGTATTCTACACGAAGGTCAATAACCGAACGTGGATATAAGCACATGAGAGCCGCCCTGTGGGCAGCCTTCTACTGCTGCTCCTGTGCCTCGTCGATGTAATTGGTGATAAAACCACTTCCAGAAGTCGGGAGATAAGGGAACAGACACGATGTCCGCAAGGTTCGAGCAGGGCTCATGTCGCGCCGTTGGCGCACCTCGCACTCCTCTACTTTCCATCCTGGGAAAAAAGTATCCGACTCGTTGTCGATTTCCTACGAATCCTCGACGAGGAAATTTGTCGAATGTGGCGGGCGCGGTGTGCGGCGACCAGTTGCTGAGGGTTCGGAATGCCCTTCCCTCGAAGCCACGGACGTCCGGTCCGAAGTTGCACCGCGTGCAGGAGACGAAGAAGGAATCTGCCCGCGGGCGCTCTCGGAACCAGAGCGGCTGGTTGTCTTTTGGGTCATAGACAGATGGATTATTGAGCAGAGAATGTGTGAAGAAGGTCCAAGGGGACGTCGAGGTGTCTTAGACACGTGAGCCTCGTACGAGGCGACAGTTAAATGTGAATTGTAGGTAACCATAATTTAGATAGGGGGGAGTGTAACGGGGTTACACGTACCCTGGTATACAGGGGTGAGTCACAAAGATAGTGTGACCACACAACGGTGTGGCTACACCTCAACAAGAAGCCACTACGTGGCGGGACT